AGAATCATTCCAACGAGCCTTTTTCTTCTCTCCCTTCTCCATCTTCCCTTCTTTCTTCTCTTTTCTATTGCATTCTTTAAAATCTCTTGGTGCGACCCCAGTAAAAGGTCTTTCGTCGCCCCATCATCGCTTCTTTCACGCACGGAAACCAGGAATCCTACCAGGCCTTGCTGCAGATGAAGCAGTCCAACTGGCTCAAGGCCGTGGGCGTCAACTTCGCGCCACCTGATCGACCTCCAGGAAGGCGCGAGAGAGATCGAGTGAAAACAGTCCACGCGTCATCACGTTCAAAGTTCTTCATCCCAAGATCGATCCAAGACGCTTGTTCCAGGAGAGACTCCACCCCTGATCAAGAAGGGCAAAGTTGCCACCTGTTTCGATACGTCGGTGGCCCATCGCTGGGTCGATGGCTTTCGGTCCTTTCGACATCTCAAAAAGGGCTTCCAGCCGGACAGTGATGAGCTGTCCCAAGAAGAACGACACTTATAGACGTGTCCAATCTTGTCCAACCACAAGGAATAAGATTGGCTTTGGAACATGTGTGAACACATTGGTTCCCCGTTTTTTTGCTTCAGTTTCTTGCAATTTTCTATTCCAGAATACTCTTGCACGTGAATTTTAGAAACCAACCCGCTCGACTGCGATTCTTTGCCAACGCCGCCAGGTCTTCCGGCACCTGCGGTGCATCAGTTGGAGTTCCATCCCGCCTGGCCCCGCGTCCCGTTGGAGACGGCGGCTCCGGCACGAGCTGTGGGCACGGTGCTGCAAGCCTATGGCTGCCTGGGAGGCCGGGGAGAGAGAGAGAGAGGGTGAGTGGGTGGGTGGAGAGTGTGGACCTTCATCAACCTTCATGGACCTTCAGATCATAATTCCATATGATTCCCAAGTTCAAAAGGCACCTAAAGTGGATGGAACCCAATGTTTCCGATTTTTTTCCCATGTGAATTCTCCATGTGCCCAATAATGAGCCTCCTGGTGCTATGTTCCCAAGTTCCGCCGCCACCGCGCGCAGCTCGGAAACACCGACCTGGCCGAGGTGCCCACACCGGTGCGATGCTGCAGCTGGAGCTGGTGCAGCAGATCGCCCAGCACCACGCGGCGTC